CAGGTGAGAGGGGAATAGTTTTAAATGTATTTAATCATTTCTGTCTCTCATAAAAAAGCAATTTCCAATTTGCAAGAGTTAGCATTTTTATTTGGGACAAATCCCACTACAAATTATAAATCATGAGAGGGTTTCATGTTGTTAACGAAATAGCTACAGCATTGTAATATTCATGTCTCATAAAAAATAAAATTTATAACCAATGAACTGGATTAAATCAAGTGATCACAGAATCATTCACTCTTCCTCACGCATGCTTTAAAATGGCAATATTGTGTCGTCTTTTTGGAATCTACAAAGAGACTTTCCATAATAAATTAAGTGAGGGAAGACTCAAGTTAATGAAATAAAAGCGGTAGTGGCACTCTATTTAATATTTTTATTTGGCATTTCATTGAAGAATTACAAAAAAAAAAGAAACTGTTTACTTGATCACACAAAATAATTCTGATTATTTTGTAAACCATTCAAATTTCTGTAACAAAAATTTCTGTGCCTGTAGTGAACAATCCCACTCCTCTCAACATACATACACCATCATTACCATTACCACCACCTACCACAAGCCTGCAACTACAAATTGTTAAAGATTTAAATAAGGCCTTTTACAAAAGTGAATTATGGGGCTTTCCTGGTGGTGCAGTGGTTGAGAGTCCACCTGCCGATGCAGTGGACACAGGTTTGTGCCCCGGTTTGGGAAGATCCCACATGCCGTGGAGCGGCTGGGCCCGTGAGCCATGGCCGCTGAGCCTGCGCTCCGCAGCAGGAGAGGCCACAACGGTGAGAGGCCCGCGTACAGCAAAAAAAAAAAAAAAAAAGTGAATTATGTACAAATACTACCTCGTGGGGGACAAGGGTGGAATCATTTATCACATCCCAAGCCAGTGAGGACAATGTGTGTGCTTGCATTAAATTTGGGGTTCTTTTCCCCAAGGTTGCTTGGCTGTCAGTTCCAGAGCACCCTGCTGTACATGCTTTGGTGCAAGTGGACACAAGTGGGAACTGAAGAAAAGACAACTTCAGTCTGACAGGAGGGAGACAGAGAAAATACCACAGAGGAGATAATACTTGAACTTGGAATATGAAGAAAAAAGAGAAATTGGCCAAGTTAAGAAGAGGACAAGTATGATGGGCCTAGGAAAGCACATATGCAAAGGCACAGAGGCATAAGAGAAGACAGCAGGTTTGAGCCAGCAAATAATTCTGTAGAGTATGGAATGTTAAGAGACCAGGTTAAAACGCTGGCAGGAGCAGATCATAACATGCTTTGGAGTTTAGATTTTATTCTGTAGGTGATAGGAGCCATTTAGCCATGTAAAAAAATTATTCCAGTAGCAAAATCTAGAATGAATTGGAGGAGGAGAGAATTATTAGGAGCAAACGACTAATAACAGTTTGTGAGTGAAGGAAGAAACAATGGCCATGAAGGAAGAAAGAAGGAGAAGACCAGTTTGGAGTTCATTAGAAAATTCCATCGGGAGTCCAGTTATCTTAGCCAGTTATCACCAAGATTTGCAGCTTATCATCCCTTCTCTAATACCCCATATAATTTCATAGACTTTCAATAACAGGAAAAAAAGGAAAAAGTAACTTACCAAATAGAAGTGATAAAGCTGACTATATTATAAAATCTTACCTATCGTAAGCAAAAAAAAAGGACACACTTTTGCATTGTTTTAAAATAATTCGTAGTCAATAAACTACTTGAAATCTAGAATGATTTTTTTTTCAGGGCTGAATTATTTATACCAATAAGAGAATTAAAAAGTAAGCCATGGGCTTCCCTGGTGTTGCAGTGGTTGAGAGTCCGCCTGGCGATGCAGGGGACACGGGTTCGTGCCCCGGTCCCGGAAGATCCCACATGCCGCGGAGCGGCTGGGCCCATGAGCCATGGCGGCTGAGCCTGCGCGTCCGGAGCCTGTGCTCCGCAACAGGAGAGGCCACAACAGTCCGAGGCCCGCGTACCGCAAAAATAAATAAATAAATAAATAAAAGTAAGCCGTGACTAAATGTGATTTTAGTATAAGAGATAGGACGGCAATAGAATAACTTAATGAAATGTAGTAAGTACAAAACCAAATGACCTGCCCTTATTATTAATATCATTACCTCCACCATATGATTTTCATTCAGTCTTTTATAATATAGGCTGATAACTTTTCTCCAAACTGTATATTTTGGTCTAAGCTTGCCTTAGCTTTCTACACTGAGCAAGTTTATGGAATGGATTACAGATGCATCCAGCCATTGCTTGTAATGGATATCTATTGTTTTGCCTGCTCAGCACCCTTTGCCCACTTTTGAAAACTGACCGTCTCTCACTTACCCCCTCCCCTTGACCTCTTCTATCCATATGATTACTATAAACAACACCATGCTTGTTCAATGTTCCGTGGATGGCCCAGTTCACACCCAGTTCCCAGTTGTCTTCTGTGTCAATGACCCCCAACTCTCCATTTAACTTTAGCACCCACTCTCTAAAGAACACACCTTAGTTGGGAATCACTATACTTCTGTTCCAACATGCCATCTAACCACACCCATCAGTCTGTTCCCTTCTCTTACTCTCGTTTCACCTGTTCCGTTTCATCCAAATCTTCAGGCCCTTGCCCACTCCTCCGAAACCACTGTTTTCCTCACCTCCTTTCCACACCCAGCCAGAACCCCCTGCTAATCAAATCAATACCTCTTTTACTAGAACTCTCCATTGATTTTCCATCCTTTGTTTCCAGTACAGCAAGCCTGAGTATTCCCCGACCAGGTGAATCACTCAAATTCTGTGCCAGGTGACTGAGCTCTCACAGAGAAAGCTGCTCAACTATTCAGATTGGTATCATTCAAATTTATAGTGAGTAACCACCTCAGCCCTCGGTGATCATCAGTAACCCTTTCATTTGTCCAGTCAGTTCA